AAGATTATGATTTTACATGTTGCCTCAAATAAAATGAAAGTCCATGGCAATATGCCATACATTAATTAAATATTAAATTAACCAATATACATATTTTGTTGTCATTATCTTAATAAAAAATTGATGTTGTGTAAATAGTCACATCTAGTCCTTGGAGAATAAATATTGGAACATGACTCTCATTGCTTTTAGTGACTATCAAGCCATTCACGCATACTAGTATAAGTAGTATTAGTAGTTGGTGTGAGAAAAAAATGAATGATGACTTGTTATAATTTAAGTTGACAAACCCATTGCAGCAAAAATTCATGAAGCTCTTAGTACCAAGCTCATTGTGCTTGCTTGAAATCATAGTCTACTTTTTTGAGATAACATGCATGATAGAAAAAAATATTGTTTACAAACCCAAGGACGGGGGCTTGTAAACATCCTCATAAAGAGTATCATATAAGAAGGCATTATTCATGTCAATTTGATGAAAAGACCATCTATTGCAATGTGCAACATGGGATGATGCAAATAATATTTGGATTTATGATTGGGCTATGGATTCTTTGATAATCAATGTCTGAGCATCATGAAAGCCTTTAGAAATAAGATAATTAATATAGCATTTTAAGGGAAACATCTATTTGTAGACAACTAAATTTTATGATAGGTGAGATAGAATAAGTTCTTAAGTTATATTTTGAAGGAAAACGGCCAACTCATTTGACATTGCATACCACCATTTAAATAGGTTGGGACTAATATGGCTATTGGTGGAATATTGAGGTCATATTTGTGTTGAGGATTAGGACAAGACAATTGCATAGAGGAGGTATTTATGGAGTTTGTGTAAGGTGTCATGATTTAGAGATGTAATTATGTATTCACATGGAAGTGCAACAGTGTGGGAAAAAGATTAATGTGGGGTTTGGATGCAAAATATTACATGACAATGGAGCCTTTATTCTATAGTGTGACACCCGAAAATCTAAAGAGGAATTTAACCCCAATTCCTTAGTCAAACTAAGCTAATAATCAATAAATGCAAATTCACTAGAGCCACTAATCATTACAGTATGTAAAATAAATATTAAGAGTTCACAAAACATAAGTTTCATTTCCCAAAATATTATTCAAGAATCTAGATTTCAAATACATATAACAAAACATAATATCTTGGAATTCCAAAATCATAAATACCTGATGATCTGGCTTGTTTGCTTTCTATTAAATCGAATCTAATCAACAGTATCTTTACCTTTTCCTGAAATGGTATAACAATAATAGAGTGAGTATCTAACTCAGTAGGTTAAACTTAGTTCTTATCATAGTATTCAATTCAAAATTATAAAAAGATTTAAAAGACTACAATTAAATATTAGAAATAGTTTTTAAACCAAAAAGCAAAAAACATCATTTAATTTATAATGTACTTGTAAATATATGAATACAAGTGCCTTGATGCCCCTTATAACTTCAGATGTTCCCAAGAGGCACGGCTCGCGAGCTTGCGAGTCAGCTCAAATCACTATTAATCGCGATTAAATTAAGAAAGTATTTTTAAATATCCCGCTTGAGGACCGTGTGACAAAAATCCTGCTCGAGGCAGATAGCGGACCGTGCAACAAAGTGAGGCTTGAGGCGAACGACCGCTCGAATGCGAGGCAGCGGATGGCGCGAATACGAGATAGCGGGCCGCGTGGGGCTTGAGGTGGAGGTTCACTAGTTCATGGAAGGCAGACCAGAGGTGGAGGCTTGTGAGTCAGCTCAAGCTCGTTTATAAGTGGGACCAGCCTAGTTTGGGCTCATCTTTTGAGCTCGACTCGAGCTTGAGCTCGAGCTCTAGCCGACTTTCTTATTGATGAGCCAAGATCGATAAGGCCACAACTCAACTCGACACTTTTAAACCTGTAGCCTATCTCGAGCCTAATGACTTCCCTAACTGGGCTGATGGACAAAAATTTGATTTTGGAAGCCAAACCCTAGATTTCTCCTTCTCGTTTCTCCCTCTCCCTATCTTCCTTCTCCAACAAGTTGGGCGAATGGGGTCATGGCTAATGACTTGAGATATTTATTATTTTTAAAAATCATTAACTTATGGGAGCATCGCAGAACTACAAAGAAACTCCCAAATTTTCCTTCTCATTTCTTAAATGAGGTAAGTTGAGTTAGACATCTTAATTGCTCTTATTAAATGCAATGAAATGATCATGGGAGGGAATTGAGCCAATTAAAAAAAAAGTATTACTAGATGGGTTTGGGTGAGTAATTATGTTATATTATGGGGTTTTCAAATTTTAGTGGTCATGCATGGTGAGATAATTTTCATGTCATGTGGAACAGGTGAGGTAGTGTGAATGACTTTATGAGTTGGGGGAGAGAGCATTATTGAGGTGGAGGAAATAGAATCATGTATATTAATTTGATTTTTGAAGGAAGAAAATATAAATATTTTGTTAATGATGAAATTGTAACATTTGTAAGAATTTTGTTTAGAGTATAGCCTAAGAAGATATATGGTGTTGAGTGAGACTCAAGTTTGTTGGAGGGTTATGGACGAGGCCAATATTGATAATGTATAGTTTACTTAGGTTTGGTGGATGGCCAAAAATGTTTTTCAAATGAGCAAATCATAGAAAATGGGGTTTTGGGCATGCGATTGATTAAATAAAGAGTACTTTCAAGTGCATGTGGCCAAATGGTAAGAGCAAGGGAAGCATGGAAGAGAAGCATGAGCCCAATTTTGATAATATATTGATGTCACCACATAGAGAGTTCATTATATTACATTATAGGAGTTAGTGTGGCGAGGCTAGAGATATCATATTGTGCTAGAAATGTACACATGGCTTTTTATTCACCGCCATTATCCCTAAACAAAGTAATTATGGGTTGCTAAAGAAAATCAATAATGTCTTTGAATCAAACTGAGATAGTTGGATATCAAAATTCTTTTGAAATTGATATAGCACAAAACAAAAATCACATAATATTTGTAATTATCAAAGAGATCCTTATAGTTGTTAGTAAATATCATCTTTACATGTACATACCAATCCTTTATAGAGATATTTACTATGATTGCCTCAATATGTCAATCCTTCATACAAAAAGAATTACATGAGAATTTATTATAATATTATTATTTTAGAAAAAATGTGGAACTGATATTAAATTATGTTGCATAGTGAAAAATACAAAATATTAAATGAGAGAAATTTTCAAGTAAGAATACTATAAGAAGTGAAAACCATGCATATATATTAAAGGCTAAGTTTCGTTTGGGATGGCTTTCTTAATGTTTCTCAAAGTAGATTTTTAGTACAAATTTTTAATTTTTATACTAAAAAGTTGCTTTAAAAATCAATAAAAAAGTCATCCCAAATAAAACGTAAAACAACAACAATGAGCTAGAATGCCATCATTAGTAACAAATGGTGCAGAGAAAGATATATTAGAGAGACATGATGCAATTTGATGAGAACTGAGAAGCATTTGTAGCAATGGATTTAATGGTCTAAAGATATTATATGATTGACTGACTGACTTTTACGAAAGAAATTTTTTTTTTAAAGAGATGAGATTGGTGAGAGAGAGAGCTAACTATGATATTGTGAATAGAGTTGTCTTGTCGGATCAAGAGTATAGGCGAGATTTGGTGTCGGTCTATAGACAAAGGTAGAGCTGATGGTTGACTTGATTTGATTCTATCTATGAAATCAAGAAGATCAATGAATGTAATAAGCGTATGGAATTGAAATTTTCAAGAGGCGTAGTTTGTGGATGTGAGTTTTAGTGATGATTGGGTGGTAGTATTGGTTATAAGCTTGTTTTGAAGATATTCGTGGATATATCAGTTTGTTTTGAAGATATTTGTGGCGGTTATGATCGTTGCAAATATGTAGGTTTGCACTGATTATAATCGCTATTAAATCTAGCACTCCGTCCAATCTACCTCGCCGGAAATGTCGTTGCAGCACATAGCAATTACAACGGGGTGCAACGATTTTAAAACAGATGTAAAAAAATTAGTGGCGGTTATAACCATTTGGGATAACTCAAAAATAGTTATGCGATAATCTTATTTTTTTTGTAGCGACACTAGGTTTTTGGACTCATGGGAGATTGGGAATTACTGTTAGCATATTTGTGATGGCTATTGAAGGGGAGGAATTGGTCAAGCGAGGTTATGAAACTCAACCATTTGAGGCTTTGATACCATAATAGAATAGAAATAAAGAGATAAATTAAGAATAACTTATGAAACTCAACCAGACCTCAAAGTGCTGTTGCACCATCTCTAATCCTTGAGAAAAAAAATAAAGAGAAGGATACAATATTTATAATTATAAATGCATGACGAGTCTTTGCTAAACTTAACTTATGATTAATGAATACTCATTATATTGATCTGATCAAAATTAATGAATAATCATTATATCATGTTAATGAAATTAAGTTTGAAATATATTTTAATTTAACAGAGCGGTTTTACAAGCTTATGAACCGATGCAGGATGAGCTTGAGATATAATTCCGAGCTTGGAGTTGTAGCTCGATAAACTCGGTTCATAAGCTCATCAATGAGTTGAGTTTGAGCAGACTCATGAGCCGACTCAGCACATTTACGTACACCCCTAATCATACCTATCATTTTGGCTCCATTAAAGATAGCCAAATAACTCCTCTGACAGGTCAAATTGTGATCAAATGCCTTCATTTATATATAACAAAACAGAATGAAAACTATTTTATTTAGACAATCGTAATATTCTACAACTTAATTAAATCACACAAACTTGTATAGAATTAGCCATTCATCCACAGTTTCAGCTCCCTTCAGCATAAAAAAAGCAAGAAAGGAAGAGAAGATGAGATTTGTTCTTGGGAAAAAAAAAATTGCTTACAGATATCCTTCATAGGCTTAAATATCTCAGAGATTTTCAAGCTCAAATGATATCAGAATATCCTTAAACAATATTTTTAAGCAATACATAAGTAATAAGATTGTAATTAATCCAAACTTGACAGCAACGGGCCCCACTCCCAAAGCCTCCCATCAATCTCCTCGAATGCAGCCGCCGCCGCCGCCGGTGGAGGCGGCGGAAACAGCGCCTCTTCCAGCTCCCTCCACATCCCGGGAGAGTCCAGCCCCCAGTTTCCGGTCCACAATCCGGTGGAGAACCGATCAGGCCGAAGCGGCTCGGGCCTGAACCGGATCCGCTTCGCCGCCTCAGCCGCGGCGGACCGAATGTCGCTGGGCCGGGAGCTGGCCGGGCGAGGGAGGTCGTGAACCGTATCGGGGAAGTTGAGGCGGGCGTCTCGGCCGCGGAGCCAGAGGGCCGCGACGTCGTGAGCGGTCGCCGCCATTTCTGGGGATTCGAAGCTTCCCAACCAAATTCGGGTTTTCTTCCCCGGTTCACGGATTTCGGAAACCCACTTCCCCCACTTCCGCTTGCGAATTCCACGGTAAGTGGCCGCAGCTCCTCCTTCCTCCTGCTCGCGACTCATTTCTGTGTGCTCTTTACCTGGTGCAGAACGAGTTGGTAAAGCGATGGTTCATTGATTGGCATTATATAGCTGAGGGAGGAAGTGAGTTACCTGGAAAGTACGTAAGTGAAAGCAAAAATTTTGTCATGAATTATGATTTTATTTAAAAAAATTATTTTTTTCTTGAAGCGTAGATCGTCGTGAAATCTCGAACTGAAGGACAGCTCTGTACGGTTGTTATACGACTAGATCAGTGACAGCTGGGTGTGAGAAATGGATGAAAAGGTTTCCTATAAATAAGTTGCTTCACTATTTAAAAATACATAATTAAAATTTTATAGGTGTATTAATTAAATATTTAAAAATAATTATTGGTCTATCTTATGTAAGCTGCATTAGTTTTTGAGAGATTTAAATGTAGTGTCTAGAATTATCTTATTTTTAAAATTAACATCTAAATTTCATTATTTATATAATATAACACTCTATTAACTTGTTAAAACACTGGATAACGATGAGAAAGTTGTGGAAGTTTATATATCCATTTTTTTGAAGCGGAAATGATTTATGTATGAGATTGACCCTTAAGATTAACAAGGAAGACCTGAATAAGAAATGCATCAGAATCTTATTGGATATCCTTAAATCACACAAACTTGTATAGAATTAGCCATTCATCCACAGTTTCAGCTCCCTTCAGCATAAAAAAAGCAAGAAAGGAAGAGAAGATGAGAGTTGTTCTTGGGAAAAAAAAATTGCTTATAGATATCCTTCATAGGCTTAAATATCTCAGAGATTTTCAAGCTCAAATGATATCAGAATATCCTTAAACAATATTTTTAAGCAATACATAAGTGATAAGATTGTAATTAATCCAAACTTGACAGCAACGGGCCCCACTTATCCATTTTTTTGAAGCGGAAATGATTTATGTATGAGATTGACCATTATGATTAACAGTGAAGACCTGAACAAGAAATCCATTAGAATCTTATTGGATATGCATAATAGTTCTATAATGGTCAATATATTTGCAGGGATTAGAGAAACAATTAAATAGACTTATAGTGCGTAGTCTGAATCCCAATAGAATAGGATGTTGAAGAATTTCATTTGTTAAGGGTTATGACTTTTGAAAGTTATATCGAGGAGTAACTTGATTACTTTCCCTTAAAGGGCAATACTTATGAATAAGATATCATATTATGTCTTATATTGTCATGATCTGGCCCGGTAAACTCGTAGGTACGAGGCGGGAACGAGATCGAACATGTAATTTAAGTGTTCATCATCAGTTTCATGAAATTCTAAAGATATTAAAAGTATAATAAAAGCGCCTCTAATCTTTTTCCAATAAGTATCACATTTAAAACCATCACAAAAGAAGATCATGTACAAGGTGGTATAAATTTAATCTAGTCATTCATGATAAAACCACCCAAAAATTCATAACTAAAACAAAACAGTAAGAACCTGTCACCCGTTGCTCGTCGACTATATGTAAACCTCGGGTGTTCTGCCATAACTTACGGGTATGTTCTCCTGAAAATTTCCCAAAGCTAGGGAGTGAGCTACGCTCAGCAAATGACAAATTTAAACTAAAATTCATACAATGGAGAATGTAATATGCAAGATAATAATGTAAGGTAAATGTTTTGTCATATGTAAGGTTGATGCTTTGATGTAAGGATGTCATATGTAGAAGTTATGTCATTTATAAGAATGTCATATTACATGTTCCTTCTTACGTAGCAAAAATCAACTATTACTAGTTACTATAATACACCCGTACCGGAGTACCTTTAATGTACTGATCAGGTACAATTTCATATTTGGCCATTTATCCTCATATTGCTCCAAGAGTCTTATTGTTCTCAAGAACCATATTGTGCCAAGGCACCATAATTGATACTCCGCAATTCAACATATACAAATTTGTATTCTCTACTCATAGTAATGAGATTCTTTACATTATAACATAAGAGATTTATAAAATCAGATGATATGCCACATGTAGGTGTATGCTTGTAAATGTGTATGCTTGTAGTGGGCATAAAAGTAAAATGAAATTCCACGAACAATACATGAAGTGTCATATGCAACATAAAAAAAAAAACATAACAATACATGAGCTTTAATTTATGAAGTTCATAAACATAGGCAATACATAAAGAAATTCTATGAATTTTAGAAGGCAATATGTCACTTACACTTAAGCCTTTCTTTGCTACACTACACTTCTTCGCACTCTTACCACTTTCCCTTATTCAGTGTTCGCACTCTTACCACTTTCCCTTATTCAACCTAAGAGAAAAGAAATGCCAAAATTAAACATATGCATTCACATCTCCCAAAATCATTAATTTCATTCTAAAATTTAATTGTTGATTTTCGGATTAATTAATTAATAAATTAGGGAAAAAGATTTTTTTTATCAAAATTTCATTTTCTTTTTCATTAGAGGCCTCCTAAACCATTAGGAACAACATTCGTGAACATGCAAGATCAAAACCCTATCTTTTGAAAAAGCCCTAATTTAAAACTATAAAATTTTGTTAAGGAAAACTTAAAATCTTATTTCAATTATGCTTGCAAATCATTCATAACATCAATCCTTACTTAAAGTAAAATGTTTTATTAAGCCCTAATTTCGGATTTCATGTTTTTCTAAAAAAAAAATTGACATGAATGGTAGGAAAACATAGATCAAGTCAAACCCTAAAAGTTTCCTAAAGAAATTTCTCAACAACACAAACCCTAAAAATTTTCTAAACACAAAATCTCATGAAATCTTTCATATAATTGAAGAAACACTTACCCCAAGGCTTTCCCCACATTTTTCCTAAAGATTCTCGCCGAAATCTCGCCGGAATCGCCGGCTTGGAAGGAGCTCCCGCCGCTTCTCCCCTTCTCCCGTCGCCTTCTCTCTCGGTCGGCCGAACAAAACAACAAGGGACCGAAATGTTTCGGTCCCTTAAGGCTTATGAGGGATTTTAGAGAAATGCAAATGCCATTTTATGCATGTGCCCTTGCCAAACTCATTTCCCTTAAGAGGGCTTAGGGGTAAAAATGGAAAGTCTAGCCAAAAGTTACTTAAAGCACTTCGGCGAATTTTAACTCCAAATCCGCGTGCAATTTAATATAAGTTCTTTATACCGTTTTGCTCGAAATTTCGAGACAAATCTAATGAAATTTATTTCGTCAAATTCCGACGACATCGTAAATTCACTTAAGTTCGTCGCGGAGCATCGATATACGTGCGACGCACTCAAACGACGAATTTCGGGTTTTACAATTCTCCCCTCCTAAAAAAATTTTTCGTCCACGAAATTGAAAAGAGAGAAAAACAAACAATCATACCTTACACAAAGAGATGAGGATAGCACTTCCTCATTTCTGACTCCTCCCAAGTAGCATTCTTCTCCAATCCATGCTTCCACAGAACCTTCACGAACGGTATCTCCCTGCTTCTAAGTTGTTTCACACTAAACTCCAAAATTTGATCTGGTTCTTCAACATATGAAAGATCTTGCTGCAAGTCCAGTTCTTCTGATATGATCTTAGAAGGATCATCCGATAAATACTTCCTTAGTGACGAAACATGGAACACATTGTGGACAGCATATGTAGTGGGTAATGCTAATCTGTATGCCACCTTTTCAATCCTTTTCACTATCTCAAAAGGACCTATGTAGCGAGGATTAAGTTTACCAACCTTGCCAAAACGAAGTACACCCTTCATCGGCCTAATCTTTATAAAAACAAAGTCTCCCACATTAAATTCCACAAAGCGGTGCTTAGCATCATAATACTTCTTCTGCCTATCTTGAACTGCTAGCAACCTCTCCCTGATTAATCTGATTTTGCTTATGGCATCGTCAACAAGATCTGATCCAATTACCTTCCTCTCACCAGTTTCTGCCCAACAAAGAGGTGTTCTGCACTTCCTTCCATAGAGAGCTTCATAAGGCGCCATCCCTATGCTGGCTTGGAAATTATTCTTGTAAGCAAACTCTATCAAAGGGATATGAGATTCCCCACCTCCACCAAAATCAAGGATACACAATCTCAATAAGTCTTCCAGAGTTTGAATGGTTCTTTCTGTTTGTCCATCAGTCTGAGGATGGAAAGCAGTGCTGAATGTCAATCTAGTGCCCATAGCCTCTTGCACTTTCTTCCACAGTCTAGAAGTAAATCTACCATCTCTATCATATACTATGGACTTAGGCACGCCGTGTAATCGTATAATTTCAGCCACATACAACAGTGCAAGCTTCTCAACTGAATCAGTCAATCGAATAGGAAAAAAGTGAGCAGACTTTGTAAGCCTATCAATGACTACCCAAATAGCATCATGGCCCTGTCGAGATCTGGGTAAACCTGATACGAAATCCATAGCAATATCATCCCACTTCCACTCTGGAATCAGTAAAGGTTGAAGTAATCCACTTGGCCTTTGATGTTCAGCCTTTACCAACTGACATGCAGTGCACTTAGCAACAAAATCAGCTACACTCTTCAATCCGGGCCACCAAAATAGACCCTTTAGATCTTGATACATCTTATTACTACCAGGGTGGATAGTATAAGCAGAGAAATGAGCTTCAAATAGAACATCCTTCCTCAAATCATCAACATTAGGTACACAAACCTAGCCTTTATACCAAAGGAGATTGTCCTCATCAAGGATAAAATCTTCTTCATGCCCAGCCTTTATTAACTGTATGATCTTCACAAAATCTAGATCTTTCCATAAAGCTTCAGCTATCCTACTCTTCAAATCAGCTGGCACAGTCAAATGACTCAACCATCATACATTGCTAGTTGTAGGAAGTACCACT